TTCTGAAAACTGTGGACTCATACTAGAAAGGTTCACATATGTGCAACATTTAATGCACAATGTCAAGGGAATTTTGAGTTACTATTGCATTTTTTAAAAACTGAGGTAACATTGGTTTTTAACACTGTAACGATAGGATTCAGAGGTATAAGATCACATCTCTTCAGACACATGTCACTACAGCACATCCACCACCAAAGAACCCAGACACCAAGGACTTGGGAGATAACAATGGAGACAAGGTAATATCTCACTGAGGGTGTCCAGGCAGGCACCAATTCCAGGAGACTTAGAGATCGCAATGGCATTTGAATCCTGAGACCCAAAGGTTCTAGATCAGTGGTCTAGAGAAGGGAGTTCAGTGTTCTGAGTTCTTTTTCTTCCTAGTCCAAATTCCTGCAGCCTGTGGTTTGCAGCCAGTGTCTTTTTGGCTTGCAAAGACTTCTTGGCTGAGTTTTCCAGCATTTCCGCCTGCTTGTTCCCTTACACATTTTTTTCTTTTCAGTGTCACTGAGTATGGTCAGTCTTTAAGACATCCAAAAGTGATAGCAAATGGGGTTCATCATCAGGTGACTTGTGTTACATATATTTACAGTTTTGTACATTTTTTTAAAAAGATTTATTTATTTATTTATACAAGCACTGGGTACAGTCAGAAGCATGGGAGGGTAAGAGAATTCACCAGAGTCAGTGCGGAGAGCAGAGCAGGCAGACTGATGAAGTACACTGCTGAGGGGAGCAGCGGGTGGCAGGAGAGGTCTGCGCGCCATGTGGGACCCTCACCCAGTGGCCGGGGAGCAGCCGGGGATCGAACCGGCGCTGCAGAGGCTGCAAGCAGCTTCGCAACCCAGCGCTCAACCGCTGCGCCACCAGGGGAGGCCCAGTTTTGTACATTTTATGATCTGACATAGTATTGACATCCTCATACTCCAAACCACTGAGCTCATTGGAATAATTTGGCCTTTGGTAAAAATTTCCATTAATTAGGTTCTATTCTACTTTTTTTTAACCCTGAATATATTTTACTAAAATTGATTGGTTTTTCAACTTCTTGTAGCCTTGGTTACTTGTCCATTTAACCCTACCAACAGGATACATCCTTGGAATCCAAACCATGTTTCTGCCTTTTCAGCTTCCACTCTCTGTATAAATATTTAACACAAAGAAGTCACTTTGCTCTAGTGACTTCTAAACTCTTTGTCTGTTCCTCTTTGCTGTAATCACCCTTCCAGCTAATCTTCTTGAATTTACCATTATGTCCCCACTTCGCTTAAACACATTCAGTGAAGCACCACTGCTTTCATGAGCAATTTCGGGAAGCCTGAATTTTTAGTCATTATCTAGTTCACTCTCTTCATTTTTCAGAGAAGGAACAGAAGTTCCACAGAGGTGAAGAGGTGCCTGTAGAAGAAGTGACTGTGTGGGGTTCTGATGGCAGCACTGGTCCCACTGGACTTGACTGCCTCTTACTGAATCACCGTAGCCCTCTAATGTGGCTTTCTTCTTGTTTCTTACCTCTTACTTGCAAGAACTAGATTTATCTGTCCCTGGTCTCTCAAACACGCCATGTGTGTCATCTCTGCTCATGAACCCTTCTAGAATATCCTAGTTCCTTGCAATTAATAGTAACAGAAATCACTCTGTGGCTCCATACCATGCTTAAACATTAAGTATTTTAAACATGTTGCTGGATCCTGTTCAGCCCTGATAAATCCACTAGCTAGCTTCCATTGTGGCTTACATTTTACACCTGTGGAACTTGAGGCTGCAGCTGATTAAGTAACTCACCCAAGATCTCTGTGTTAGTATTTGGCAGGGCCTGGACTCACTTGAGCAATCTGTTCCCAAAACCTGCGCGGTGATTCCTACACCAAATGTAACTGCCCTAAGGAATAGCTTCTAAGTTCCAGGCCAAAGACTTCCTCTACTCTGTCAGACTTTGCATAGCGGTGCATGTACAGCAGAAAAGCCAAATTCTTCACAAGGTAATCTGTGCTTTCTGATTACTACTGAACATACTATAAATGCTTGGAAAGTAATAACTTATCAAACCATAAAAACCTACAACTTGACTTCCTAACTTCTCTTCCAAATGAAATTGGAAAAGAACCCCAGTGCAAGATAAGAAAGTAATAAAGGGGAGACTGCTCTGCAGATAACTTCTGAGACCAGCACACACAGCCAGGGTTTGCATCTTCTGGCAAGGATTCCTGAGGCCTAGAGATACCAGCGGACCTCTCTTACGATAGACTTCACATACCTATGTGTAAATATAAATATGTATATATGTGTACATATAGAAAACCATAAGATTGTGGTAGAGACTGTCTCTGAGAAGAATGTAAGTTACAAAACACTTTTCAAAAATACCTCTTAAAATAACCTTTCAGGCCTATCAGAAGCTAAGTGTCAGGAAATCAACTTAATGCAACAATAACTATATACACCCTCTAGGTGGTAAGTTGTGAAGATTTTAGTCTGTTGGTCAGAGAACTTAGAAGGTTTCTTTGAATAAGTTTCTTACTGAGATAGAGTTGACGTGTAACATTAACTTCAGGTGCTCAGTGTAACGATTTGATCTGTGCATATATTGTAAAATTCTCACAATAAATCTAGGTAACCAGTTAAGTCCAGTAACTATGAATCAATAAAGTAGAATTGGCTGCTATTTACCTTACACTTTCTCTGCTCTCTGGATATATACTCAGCTCCTCAATTTCTGAGTATTTTGGTTAATTACTATATTTTGATAATGCAGATTGTGTTTGAGGAGGGGCCAAAATGTCAAGCATCTTGTGATCAGAACACCTGCCATTTCTTGCCATGTTTCTTCACCTGCAGTGGGTTTAATTTACATAGTTGGTTCCTAACAAACTCGAATGTTGTTGCTCCATTTCAGATGCCAGATTTTATACCAACAACAGAATCAGCGCAGTGCCTTTGCCACTAAGCCTTCCATAAAACAACCAGGTTATTTGTTTTTCAAAGATGGTGGTAACCATCCAAAAGACAATTGCAGGAGGGCAGTGGGAAGATTGACAAACAGGAAGGAAAGTGTAAAAAGAAGGAGCATGAGCCTTAAATTAAAATTTTTAATTGTCACCTTTTGCGGCAATTATTCGGGAGGTTTCTGTTTTCTTGGGGGTGGCATGAGGGATGATGGTGAACCTCACAAATGGAAAACCCTCAAGACAAGTGTCCAGAGACTAGAAGAAGTGTGGTGGAGCTAAGAGGCATGGGAGGCGCAGACGTCAGAAACGTTTAGTGCAGACTTTATACCTAGTAGCTGTCAGACATTAATCATGTTATTTGACTTCTTTGAACCTTGGATATGATCATGTAACACAAGCCCTTAGTGGGCACAGTGCCTGGCACATAGTAAATATTCAATAAATGTTTAAGCTTAGGCTAAGATGAGTATGAGGTCACAGCACTGGAGTAGAAGGGCAGCGAGCATGACGGGATCAGTTCTGACCTTGCTCCCCTTTGACTACTAAGACCTTTGTGTGGATTCTTTTCTCACCAAATTATCCTCACATTCTAGAAGCTATTTCAAGGCTAAGAAGAAACATGTGGATTGTGTTGGGGACATTAGGCAGAGTTGATATGGTCTAGCAAACATACACAAACCCCCAGGTTAATCAAGGGCCTCCCTGGTGGCGCAAAGTGTTAAGCACAGCATTGTGAAGCTGTCTGCAATCTCTACAGCATGAGTTCGATCCCGGCCAGCCCCGGAAGCTACCCACATGGTGCAGCAGACCTCTTTTGCCCTGCCCGCTGCTCCCCTCAGCAGTATATTTCAGTAGATCTGCCTGCTCTGTTCCCCATTCCTTATCTCGTGAATCTTCTACCCACCACCACCCCCCCACCTCTGGCCTGTCCCCCTGTTCTGGTATGAATAAATAAATCCTTTTAAAAGAAAAGTTTTTGAGATAAGTTAAAGGAAAAAATAAGCCTGCAAACAAGAAACTACATTTTCACACTGCATATTGTTTTTTAGACCCAGTGGACTAAATCAGTTGTTGGTTATGTTATTCAGCTAGAAACATTAACAGTGCCAGAGGGTAGGATGACAGAGCTGGTGCGATGTGCAGGAAAGGAAATAACTGAACCTGGAACTCTGGAACTCACCAGGATCTATGCCTTGCAAGTCAGCGGAGCATCTGAATCATTTGTGATGTGTTTGACACATTCACTTATCTCAGTTCTTAAATGAAATGGGTACTTTTATTTCCCTTTAACAGAGGAGGGAAGCCAAAATACAGAATTTAAATTTGTTCCAAATTGGGTATTTGTTCAACTTAAAGACTGATGGAAATGTTTTACACTTTTTTTTTAACCATCCTTCAAAGAATTGTAGCTTAACTTTTCAAGGATCTTAAATGCTCAGCCCTAGCTAAGTGGATTAAGTTATATTACAGTAATAAATCTCTGAGTTTAAGTTGTAAAGCATTTGCACCTCATAAGTAGTGGTGTTCTTTCCAAATCTCACTGACATTTATTCTAGGATCAACATAGAATAGCAGTTCTCAACCTTCAGCACACATTGGAATCACCTGGAAGACTTGTTCAAGCAATAGGTCTGTTGTAGCCCAAGAAATGCATTTCTAGCAAGAGGTTCCCTGGTGAGGCATACACGTCATTTTGACAACTGCTGATGAGAAAATAATTTTGTATTACTATTTATATGGAGGAATGAATAGGAAAATAGTCTTGAAAGTGAATTCTAAAGCCTCAGGTGGAAATGGAAATTGAGGTTATGTTTCCAAAACTGAGTAGTTTATACTTAACCAACCATAACTGAGTTTGTGGTCAGTCCAAAATATTTGTATTGTCCATTTAATTTTGGAGAGTGATTTTGATTATAAGAGAAATCAAGAGTGAAAAATCACTGCATAGAAATACTGAAATTTGATGGTAGCTTTAAAAAAAAAAAAAATACTGATTGACATGTATGGAGCTTCTCATAATTTTTTTCCTTCCTTTTTTGGTTTTTGTAGGTGGCAAATCTTCCAAAGGACTATATGATATCCCTCAAATATGTCCCCGGGATGGAGGTATTGGTATGTAAGCTGTACATTTCTGAGTTTCATTTTAGTAACTGATAAAAGCTTTGGGGCCATTTGTACTGGGATAGGAAATTATCTGCCACTTCAGGGTGTGCTTATTTATCAGCATTTGGGGAAGGTAGATCGCTTTGAAAATTGACTTGGATAGTTTTTTTTTCCCTCACACAAATGCCAAATTTCAATATTTGCAGCTGGTGAACAGTTCAGCACACATGTCAAGTGTCCTCCCCAAGAAAATAAGATCATCCTCCTTAGAACTAGCAGCAAACTTCTTTTCTTTTAGCCCCTTACAAAAAATACTTGAGTGTAAAATTATGTAAATTTGTTTCATGTGGGAAAAGGTGATATGTCTCTTTCCTATTTAATTTGCAAGCATAAAATGTTTTACTTCTAAATTTATTAGCAATGCTATAGATTCTTAGAACCTTACAGTAGAAATATGTGGTTATGAGTAGACCCTCTAAGGGCTTTCCTTTTACTACAAACTATGCCTCTGAACATACTGTTTTTATTTTGCCTGTTTACATATTTTATATTGGTGTCACTATGTTTCACATAACACTTTGCCACTTGTTTATATTTTGCAATAGGCCTTGGACACATGCGTTGTAGCATATTCATCATTTTAACTACTTGCTGTATTGTTGTCCTTGAAACCGTTGGGATTACTCTCTGCAAGTCTCATGTTTCTGTAATTTACCAAATGCTCATTACATATCCAACTTGTACAAATTGTTTTAGGCTTTGAATAATTTCTGTGGATTAAGCAATCAAAATTATCACCAGTTGAAGCTTGCTATAGCTCAGTGTTTATGCTTCAGTCTGTCAAAGGCTACTGACAGTGTTATTTCAAGAGAATTTCAAAGGCGTATTTCTTTTCATTAGTGAAAGAAGCATTTTAGCATGGACTATCGAAAGTTCCTTAAACTCCTTGGAACATGTCTCTTCATGTTAAACCAGTTATCCTCAAGCCTCGGTCAGTGTCCTATTGAATTAGGGGGTAAGAAATAGGATCGTTAAAGTTTAGGCAGCAAGATAATTCATCTGATCACTCAATCAGGAAGTATTTGTTTAGGAAAAACTTCGGAGCCAGCATTTTACCAGACACTTTTAGAAACAAACACATTCAAATTAACCTTACCTTCAAAAACTTTAATAATAACTGGGGGAATAGTCTGGTGTTTCTAAAATATTTTTTTCATGTGTAACTCCTTGGATGATTAGGAAAGCCCTGTGAAGAGGCAGGTTAACTCTTATGATTCCTACTTTACAAATGACACTGCAGTTTACAACCCAGAAGTATTTTGCCCAAGGTGATACTAGGAAGTGAGTATCTAGATAACTACAGTAGCAGGGAAAGCTTTCTAAGTCTTCTAAGTGAAAGCATCTAAGTAATGAAGAAAGATCCTGAGTGTAGATGCTTTTAGGCCTAGGATTGCCAAAATTTAATCAAAGAAATCATGCTGCTCTTTGAAAAACAAGTGCTAAACTTAAAATAACAATAGGTTATTTGTGCTCCTAGAATCAGATTTTGCTCTGTCATAGATTTTAGTATCGTGGTGATAGCAAGAGCCAAACTTTGAAAACTGAGGCTGATTCATGGCCATATTTTTTTATTGTTTCTGTAATTGAGAAAAGTCCACTATTATTTGGTCTTGGCTCCCTGTCCTGGCACAACTGGACAAACTCTGTTCTTGGCTACTACACTTGGCAGAAAAACAAGTCTGTGTAGAGGGCTTTGGGCAGAAACAGGGGGTGTCGAATGCTTTGTTTTACCTTCATTTTGAATGGTAGCTTCTGCCAAAACCTGAGGAGTTTCCCAGTGGAGAGGCTCCTGATTATTTGTCAGTGGTCAAAGCCCCAGCTGCCTTATCTTTTGTCTTTAAACAATAGAGGGTGGAGTGGGAGTCAGGGTGGGTACCAGAAGATTCTCTGGGGCCAAAGCCATAAAATTGTGCTTGTGGCACTGGGCAGAAGAAAGTTCTTGAATAGAACACACTTCATTATTTTATTTTTACTTTTTTGTTTTGTCTTATAAAGCCGCTAAATACTCCCGAAAAGCGGAGGCTACTCTTCTAAGGGCAGTCTTCCAGAACTACCTTGCAGATTCCTTTTCACAAATAGCAGGGTGTGGCCAACCAGTTAGTATTTAAATTCAAGGATAATTACCCATTCTATTCTAAACTCTCTGAGGCTGTAATATTGCCAGACGGTTAGGATTTCCTTTAATGTTCTAACCTTAAAAATGCCTAAACATTTATGATCCTTTCCATTTACTGGTAATCTTACTGTAAAAGAACAAAAAATTGAGTTGATTTGTGTTACACATTGATATCTATATAAACTATATAAATGATGAGTTACTCGTGTTTGAGTAAAAAATTCGTTAGTTTTTAATTAAAGTATAACTATTGAGATATATATATATATATATCAGTTTCCTTCCAGCTTTTTATTTGGAAATAATTGCAAATATGCAGCACAGTTGTAAGAATATTCAAAGAACACCTGCTTACCCTTTAATTCGGATTAATCTATTTTTAACATTCTTGCTTCAATTGCTTGACTGAGTGCTTGCTTTCTATGCATGCTTGTGTGTTACTATTTTCCTAAACCTATTAAGTTGTATAAATCATGGCTGTTTACCCCTAAATACTTCAGTGTGTATTTCCTAAGTAAAGGATTTTCTCTTACATAACTTCTGTATGGTTGCCAGCCCCTATAAACTTAGCAGTATCTAAATACTTCAGTCTACAGGGCTGATTTCAATTTCATCTATTTTTTTTTTTTTTGGCCTTTTCCCCTTGTACAAGATTCAACTTAGGTGCTCTGTTTGCCTTTTGATATCTTGTGCTGTAGGCAGAGTAAGTGGCTGATCCCAGATGTCTCTAATATCTATAACATGATATAGACCATGAGTTAATCCTACTGTGAATGTGTCACCTTACAGGGCAAAAGGGACTGTGCAGGGCCTCCCTGGTGGCTCAGGGGTTAAAGATAGCACTATCAAGCCATCAGCATGAGTTCAATCCCCAGCCTGTCAGGGAGCTTACTAAACCACATGGCGCTGGAGACCTCTCCTGCCTCTCCCTGCTGCTCCGCTCAGCAGTGCATTTCGGTAGATCTACCTATTCTGCTCCCCATGCTCTCTAGTGAATCCTCTCCCCCCACCTCCACACCTCTGGCTTACACCCCAGTTCTTGTATGCATAAATAAATAAATAAATCTTTTTTAAAAAAAGGGGACTGTGCAGGTGTCAGTGAAATAAGGGTTTTGAGATGGGGCAATTATATAAAAGAGGTAAGATTGTCAGAATCAGAGTGATTTCCTTATAGGGCAACCTGGCTGCTTAACTCCACTCTCAGTTCCTAGCAATCCTCCCTCCGGTGGTGCCATTCTGGGATTTGTAGTCCTTGGTGTCTTGGATATCTTTGATTGGGGTAGGGGTGGGCCTCATAAAACTGATTCATGGAGTCCATTCAGGACATCATTTCCCCCCAGCAGTTTCAAGATATATATTACTGGCTTTGAAGATGGAGGAAGGGGTTACAAACCAGTGCAGACAATCTCTGAAAACTAGAAAAGAAACTGCTAGAAGAACCAAAATCCAAGGGTCATCTTGATTTTTGCCTATTAATAGCTCTTTTGGATTTCTGACATCAAGCACTGTAAAATGATAAATTTATGCTCTTTTAAATCCACTAAGCTTATGGAAACGAATTCATCACAATTTGCTTTAAGAGTTCCTCAACCTTTCTTTGCCTTTATGACATTAAAAATATGAAGTAATAAAGTGGTCTTCCCTTTAAGAAAAAGTTTCTCTTTGAAACATTTGACTGGTATTTCTTGATTATATTCAGATGATGCATTCCAAGCTGTGATGCCACATCCTGAGGACACATCACCCCTTTTCTCAGGAGAGGCACAGTGTCCATGCTCCCCTCAAGGAGCTGTCTAGATGAGCCCTTGGTTAAGCTGTGCAGCTCCTTCTGTATATTTACTCATCAGCAACTAATCGGGAATCTCTGGGGAGAAACTTTAAAAGACCATTTTAACACCACCTCATCAAAATTCCTCCAGTTGATTTAATAGCCATTGCTGATTCATAACAAGAATGATTCTTTACTGGCATGTTTGTTTTTAATTAAACAATTTTTTAAAAACAGGGTTACGCAGGGGGTGGTTCTCTACAGTGGGCCTCCAGTCACCCTCTTCCACAGCATCCTTCCGTGCGAGAGTTCCATTCTCGGCTAGTCCTCCACCTTTGTCCCACCCTGCATCCCACCTCCCTTGTCACCCAGGCTTTATCAGTTGAGGTTTTGACTCTTCTTGAGTAGACATTGATTAAAACAAAACCCAAGTACAGCCTATCATGCATACTCTTATACTTACTCATATACCTTGAATGGCTGCCTGTCCCTCTTATGAAACAAGAAAAGGATCTCCTTAAGTCTGTCAAGACTGGGGACCTGGTGCTTTTCCTTGTTGTTTTTCAGTCCTTCATCCTCCATGTGCCCTGCTGTCATTGTTCTTTGCACATGGCTTCCTTGGGAATGCTAGTCTGGCCCTTTGGGTAACTCCTGACTCTTCAGTTTCAGTTTTCACCCTTTTCAGGAAATTTCTCTCTCCTCCTTGACAAAACTAGCTCTTCCTATTAGCTCTTTTCATAGAACTCAGAGGAGCAGTTTTCCATGTATTTTGTGGAATTATTTCACTGATCACCTAGTAACCAGTAAACTTAGTGAGGACAAGAGTTGTATATTGTTGTGTTCTCATATCCTCAGTACCTAATGGATGATAGACACTGAAAAATTACGTGCTGCAAGAGGGTAAGGAAAGAAGGAGAAAATATCTCTGCATGTGATCACTTGTCATTGCCCTGAGGCACAACTTTGATCTGAATAGAGCCCATGGGGTTGTTATGAAGAGGTGATACCTGGAACTCATCACACACTATCTGCACCTCCCCTACTGCTGTCTTCTTTTTGATAGGT